GGGATCCACAATCTCCCAGGACCTCAAGTGGGAGCCCAACACATACACCATTATCAAGAAGGCCCAGCAGAGGATGTACTACCTGCGCCAGCGCAGGAAGCTCAACCTGCCTAAGGAACTGCTGATCCAGTTCTATACTGCCATCATTCAGTCTGTTCTTTGTTCATCCATCACTGTCTGGTTTGGATCGGCCACCAAACAGGACCGGAACAGATTACAGCGGACAGTCAGGACTGCACCGAGGATCACTGGTGCCAACCTGCCTTCCAGTCAGAAACTTTACCTGTCCAGAGTCAGGAAATGGGCAGGTAACATCACTGTAGAGCCATCTCACCCTGGACACAACCTGTTCCAACTCCTCCCCTCTGGTAGGCGCCACAGAGCACTGTACACCAAAACAGACACAGGAACAATGTCTACCCACAGGCCATCACTCTGACCAACAGTTATCTGCCCTGTACAATTACCCTAGAGGCTATTGTATACGACGAATTATATTCACTGGTGGATCTTTTACACAAAATTATTATGTGCTGCTTAGTGCTTTAGAAAATGTGGTGATAACCTTATTGTGATTGGTGGAAAAAGCTGATCTGATCTCCTTTGTTTTAATATATAAGCACCACATGAAGGCAAGCTGCTTATTATTAGTACAGAGATTCTTTATTATTAGTCTTACATCATTATACTGTGTTTGTCTAAATATTAAATACTATGTTTTGAAAGACAGGCCATTTGATCAACCGAAATGTAATTTGTAACATCTACTTCACATTTTGGTGTCACAAAAAAAATGTATTGTCTAACTTACACAGCTCTTTCCTTCAACTCCAGTGGCCCATGGTCTGCCTGGTAAATGTTCAGGGCATTCTGCAGGGAGTAGGGGTTCAGGCAGACGGGCTTAAGGCCTGGATGAAGAGTCATGCACTGTGGCTCTTCAGGAAGCTCTCCACATCTATTCTGAACCTGTTAGAGTCAGAAGGTGTTTTAGTGCTAGAGATTGTGTACTCGTAATGATCATTGTGGAAAATAAAGTCAGTAATACATATTGCTCACTAGAATAAATGGGAGAAAAACATTACCATTCTGTAGCAGGCTGAGAGGAACGAGGTTGATCCAGGGGCAGGTCAGTGTCCTCTGACTCTGGGTCAGATTCTGGCTCTGGTGGCTCAAACATGTAGTAATGTTCTTTGACAGTTGAGAGTGGCGCCGAACCCCCCATTCAAATTTGGCAGGATGGTTAATACACACCATCCTTTGGTGTGAGAAATTCAAAAATCATATTTATTTTTACTTTACATGGACTTTAATAAAACAATTTATTACTTTTTTCCATATCTTTTTTTTACAGACATAAAACATATTTATTCTAATACATCTACCTATGCTGTGCCTACTGTATGTACTGTATCTACAGTAGACTCTGTCATATCCAACCACCCCATGTACATAAAGATACCTACATGTAAATTATTTATTTCAGCATCCTTTGCACTGTGCACCATTGCATTCCATGTCTACTGTCTACAACTGTTTGTTTATAGATATGTATAACTGTATATAACTGCACATATAAGTATATGTCTTTCTTGTTGAACTTGTTCTGTTTATCTATGCTGTTAGTCTGTGTTTGTGTAAAAGCCCTGAAAAAGGGAGTATTCGAATGAAAGATGTACAGACACAAACTTTCTTCAGATCATGTGTGTAATGACTCACATATCAAAACAATCATATGAATACAAGTAGTAGCCAGTACAGTGTCACAATGTATGCAACAGTCTGCATAAAAAAATAACAAACAAGCTACTGAAATATTACCATAGGAAATGTACATCAACCATAAACCTAACATATCTAACCAGTACCAGTGTCTGTAGTTTTGTTTTCAATGTTGAATTACCATATAAACCAAACATAATATGCTAATAACATTTAAAATTTTATCATTAATAATTAAATAATAAATTAAATATGCGCGAGCATACTGCATAACAACAATTTCATCAGCATGTTCACATCACACTCTGGTAACCATTAATACATTTAACTACTGCTGGTATTAGACATTTGGAGCATAAACATAAGCAAACACAAAGGTACTGTACTGTAACAGCTGCAACTGAATGAATAATAACCATCATAACCATGAACTATGACATAACATGAAAATGTAAAAAATACTAAAGATGAGCCCAATAAATGTTACTCTATTATTTGCTCAGACTTACTGATATAACACGTTATTTTATCCGCCACATTTGTACATTGAGAACAACATAAAACCGGAGCCAAATCCCTTGTATATGCACACATACCTGGCCAATAAGGGATTCTGATTCTGATAATTTTGGGACATGTATTCATAAACGTCCATAATGAAGACACATTCTGGTGTAATTTGGAGTTTCTTTTTTCTCAGGTCATTATATTATATATATATTTTGTTTGTTGTCATATGCTGAAGTGAAAACAGACCAATTTAGTTAGAACATCATGCAGTGATGCAGTGCATACTACCGGACACTGGATGGAGACACACATGCAAAATTAAACGTGCATTTTATTCTTTTTATTTTCCCCAGTGTATCATCCTTATTACGGTTTTAAATGTCCTGTCAAGCCACAATCGTTGTAAAGAATTAGTGGATTATAAACACAATTCAGTTTTTTAAAAATGATGTGTAAATACTAACGATATAAAACACAAACTTAATTCCAAAAGACGTTTCCAAGGCGCCTACAAACGTCTCCTATAAGAATAAACATATTTGCAGATATTGATAAAGATATAATGATTTCCGGTCATTTAAACCCCGCCCCCCGCCACTCTCTCCGGGCTGTCGGGTCAGCTTCCGACGTCTGTCTCTAGCTCCTCATGTTATAGGTTAACTGCGCTCCTTCAGGGAGGAGGACAGCAAACAGTAAACACTCTGCTTTCCTCCTGCGACTCCACAGGGGCAACAGGTGTTCTGCCGACACGAGCAGGTGAGATGGTGGTGTTTCTTCTCCTCAGACCCGAACCAACATTAGTTCAGACTGGCAGAAACTTAAGAGTGTGAATCATTTCTACGGCTATTGCAAATGAAAATGTATGTTTGAGCAGTGACCTTTGTGTTAATATAGGATAAAGTATGTGAAACGTTTGTATTCTTAGGGCTGATCCTGCTGCAGGTTTTTGTTTGTCGCGAAATAGATTAAAGGAAAGGAGCATTTAGTTTATTATTTCTTTATGGGCTGGAAATGCACATGCAGAAGACTTCGCCTTGTTTGTGTAAGACCAACCCTGTTCAGAACTCCCATTATAACTTGGAAGATTTAAATAGGTGCAGGCATTCAGGGTCACTGATATTTCTGACAGCAATAGAGTGGGAAAATGGTGAGGTGTTTTCAGTAGGAGCATATCCTCAGATGGGTGATTGGGTTGTTTGTGTTCTTGTCTCCATAGGTGCTCATTTACCTTGGTGAGAGCAGTAGTTTACATTCCTCTTTGTGTGCACATGTCATAACAGGGGGGGGGGCGATGGTTACAGGTTTGACTACATACCTGTTTTTCTAGTGTATGTGACTCATGTGGAGAAGAATGTCCTCTCATGTTGTGTGTATTACTTATTACTGTGTCACTTAAAAGTGAGCTGAAATAGTTCAACCTGCAGCAATATGTCAAATCTGCATTACATTAACATTAATGCTGTACATGGTCCCTTGCAGATATTTGCAGCTGCAGTATTTCAGGGCTCACAGAAACAGTCCTGTTTTGTTAATCTGTCTATTGAAATGTCACGGCATGTGCTCCTGGCTGGTGTGTGTGTGAAGTTTTATTAACTTTCTCTCCCAATTTTAATCCTCCTCAGATTGTATTAAACTCAGACTTCACTTTCTCTTCATCTTCCGTTCTTAAACCCCCACCTTCATACCTCTGATTCACTGTGCAGACTGATGCATTCTAAGAAAGACTTGAACATCTTCACTTCACATCAAAGCACACTCTGGGTTCCTGTTTGGTTATGAGCCAATATAAATTATTTTTCAATAAATAACCATTCATTCATTTCTATGTGGCATCCTCTCCTATAAAAAATGACTCTCTCTTTTATTTAAATTTTGTGTCCCACAGGGTGTTCTGTCCAGCAGTCCTCCTCTGTCTGTATTCCACCTCCTCTTGCTTACCTCCACCCATCGCTCAGCTATGTCGGGCGACATTCTGCAGCGGTTCAGCACTTTGCCCGTAAGCATCAAACACCTCAGCCGCCTGCCCAAGTTCTCTGACCTCATCCCTTCCTCCATTCCTTCACCCAGCCCCACCGTCGCCGCCTCCCAGGTCCCCAGCCTGTTCCGAGAGCCCTACATACTTACGGGCTACCGTCCCGTCCAGCAAGACTGGCGCTGCTACCTCCTCAGCCTCTTCCAAAGACACAATGAATCCCTGAACGTGTGGACTCATTTGTTGACTGGTCCAGTGCTGCTGCTCCGCTGGTGGGCCAACGTAGGTGCCCTGGGGTACACCTTGGACACAGCCTCTCTACCTCTAAGCATCTTCCTGGTGTCTTCTCTGACCTATCTGTTCTTTAGTGTGGCAGCTCACCTCTTGCAGTCTCACTCTGAACATGCACACTACTTTTTCTTTTTCATGGACTATGTGGGTGTAGCTGTGTATCAGTATGGTTGCTCACTCGGACATTATTTCTACACGTCAGAGGCAGCGTGGAGAGAAAGCTGCATCGGGCTGCTGTTTCTACCTGGAGCTGCCCTCTTTGGGTGGCTCTCCTGTGCGGGCTGCTGTTTCGCTAAGTCCAGGTACCGGCGGCCGTATCCATTGCAGCGTAAAATCTGCCAGCTGATCCCAACCACCCTAGCGTACATGTTGGACATCAGCCCCGTAGTCCACCGCCTGTTCACCAACTCCTGGGCACAGGAGCCCTCCTTGCCCTTCCACGCACTCCAGATTGTTTTTTTCCTACTGTCTGCCCTCTTCTTCTCCTGTCCCATCCCTGAGCGCTTCTTTCCAGGCCACTGTGACTTTTTGGGTCAGGGTCACCAGATCTTCCACCTGTTTCTATCCCTGTGTACCGTGTTCCAGCTGGAGGCTCTGTTCCAGGACTATGCTAGGCAGAGGGATACAGTGGTGGAGGTATTTGGAGAGAGGCAGCTGTGGTGGGCTTGTGTATTCTTCCCCGCTCTATTCCTGTGTTGCACTTTGACAGCACTCATCACAATGAGGCACATTAAAAGTAAGCTGCAGGGTAAACAAGAGAAAGACAAGTGACAAGTTTAAGTGTGTGTGTTTATGTGTCTGTGTGTTTGTGAGAGGGATAAAGAGAGAGAGAGAGAGAGAGAGAGAGAGAGAGAGAGACAAAACGGGGTTGGGCTTAAATGTACCAAATTATATTAACAATATAATAAAATAAGGCCGTCTTTATATGTTTTTGTTTAACATAAATCAGTCTGTCTGTGAAAAATGTTGATTACTTGAAGTACTTTAACAATAAAAAAAATGTGAAAGAGCTTTCTGTCTGATACAATTAACAGATCATCTAAAATTTCTGAAGGGTTTAACTGCTGATTCAACAAAGCAATAGTTGGCTCAGCGGACTCCATGGTTTGCTAACTATAGCTCGGTTAAGTTTTCCACAGTGAATCATCCTCCTATTAAATTGCTGATGATGACTGTACTGAGGAGAATGCTGAGGATATTAGTCTGAAACATACCAGAAGTAAACCTTACACTATCTACATTTCTGTTCCTAATTTTATGAAATATATTAGTATAATAAACACACATTTTGTAGATACCTGTAGGGAGGATGCATTTTCAAGCTCTTTTTACCTCGTCTGATACAGAAATCAGGCACCTGTGTACTCATCAGTTAGTTTACTGTCCAGTTCTGGACATACTGATACTCTTAACTCTCTCCTGAGGCGAGCAGCAATGTCAACATTAAAAGATGGAGTGAAAGAGCAAATCTGGATTATGGCGTTCAGTGGACTAGCCAGATAGTAGGATTTGAGCGAACAAAGAGGCCAGTTTAATACTAAGGCAGGAGGATAGACTGCATGAGGAGAAAAGTTGGCATAACAGTCTTCCACATGGATAAAATCCCTCAGCAGATCAAGTTGTGAAGTGTGTGTGTGTGGGGGGTTGTACAGAAGACAACACTGCCCTGCAGGGGCAAAAAGCAACAACTGCATGTTTCAGTTTTATTTTTCTGGCCAATCAAATGACATATTAGACCTTCAAAATGCTGTTGTTGACTCACTAATGGTAATTCTATTTCCTCCCCTCTCCTCTTAATATTGAGTTTCAAAGATCAAAAAAGGAGGATTTTGATTGGGAGCAGATGAAAGACTGGTTTATCTCAACATAATGATATTTAGTAGATTGTGCACCACCCATTTAACCAGCAAGGCCAAACACTATGCAACAAGCCGACGTGGAAAGCACGAGATAACATAAAAAGAACCTAGGGGAAAACGGAAAAGGAATGGAAAATCCTTGGCAGATAGGCCTACTGAATATTTAGAACAGTCTATGACATAACTCCAGGGTGTTTAGACACTAATGTTAAACACAAATATATCTTGTAGACTCTGTTTGTACATATGGAAGAAACCAGGCTATTGTCAGTGTGTTTTTTGTTAGGTGTTACATTTCTGTCATATTGAGCTGATAGCCACACCTTTTGTACACCCTCTAACATGAAAAGTAAATTTCCTTCCAGAAGGCCCGGTATCAGTGTGTGAGTCAGAGCTCAGGCTGCAGTTTAAAGAAGTAGTTCAACAATTTGGGAAATGTGCATATTTGCTTTCTTGCTAAGAATTAAACCAGAAGATTGATACCACTCTTGTATTACATGTTTTACAGGGGGTTGGACAATTTCTTGGCCTAGCACAGTGACTTTCTGGAGTCTTGTAGTTTGGTTGCCAGGCAAATAGCTAGGTCAGGTGTGGTCAGACATACAGCAACATTTTTTCCACATACCAGCTGTAGCATACAGCATACAGACATAATAATAATACATTTTATTTAAAGGCGCCTCTCTGGGCACTCGAGGACACCGTACAACACAAAAAATAATAACAGTAAGAAACAAGAAACAGATAAGAAATATGAGAGTACTATAAAATAGCGTCAGACTTCTTAGCTAGCTGACGGCACATTACCTAATTGGCCCGGGTCCTACCCTCCCGCTTTGTATCCCGGGAAACCGGG